CAGGCTCCTAAATCCTTCCACTCCCCATACTGTTTTTCTACACCAAACTGTCCTTATTACTCCTGGGCAACGTTGTGCATCCTAGGTGTGTTTTTATTTTTCCTGCCTCATCCATCATGTATATAGGTATGTTTTTTTCTGATCACCACATAAACTTCCTTTTCCTCTTCTCTCACTCCTTCTTAAAACGTTCCTGCTCTAATCAACACTAAGTCACCTTTCTGGCTTTATGTGAGAAAAATCTTGATATTGCCTACTCAGCTCTAGAATTCCCTGGTTGGGATTCCAGAGTTTATCCTAAGTTTACTGGACTTTTCCTTCTCACAAAAGTTGGTGATAACCCAGTAATTGCAGGAGGCAGCGACATCATTACCCTCTGCATAAGAAACACTTTACCTGACTATGCCACTTTAAAAAGGCTTGAGCATCATCTCAAAGCGGCTCTTTTTAATCCCCAAGATTATTGTTCCTAAACACGTTGCTCTTCCAGTAATCCTGTTCCATTTTTATTCTGGTAACATTTTCTGAAGAGCGCAATCTCTCCAAATACTGAAAGTTGTTACCTTTGTCTAGGACTTGAATTCATTTATGCTTAGATTAAAATTGTGTAGTGGCTTCCAACACAGTTCATTGCTTGGTTAGCTGTTCGCATTTCCTCCAAACAGATGTTACCAAGAAACTTTTTAAAAAGCCAAATTGTCCTTTCTCTTAAGCTATCAAAGGCTGCTTCCTCTCCACTTCTCCAGACTACGTGGACATAACAGTGATATTTAATAATCTTCCTCTAATTTCTCATCTTCATGGAAACCTTTCGTTATCATGTTCAAGCTTTCAGTTTAATATAGCACTTGACTTCAAACACCCTGTTTGTAGCTGACAGCATATGCCGCTCATTGTTACAAAATGAAACTGTTGACTCTGCATATCTAATTTTTTAGTTCGTTCCATTAGTAGTCTTCCTGACGAATCTTATTTACCCTTTACTTCCTGGGTTATATACACAAATAGTTAAGAAACACTGGCTACTTCTCCTTCACTTTTCCTTTCCTTCATGCACCACTCATACAGGTAAAGAATGCGATGCCAGGTGCAGTGACTAGCGCCTATAATCCCAGCATTTTGGGAGACCAAAGCAGGAGGATCGCTTGAGCCCAGGAGTTTGAGACCAGCCTGGGCAACATAGCGAAAGCCTGTTTCTACGAAAAAATGCAGAAATTAGCCGGGTGCGGTGGAACATGCCTTTAGTCCCAGGTCTCCGGAGGCGGAGGTGGGAGGATCACCTGAGCCCAGGGAGGCCAACACTGCAGTAAGCCGTAATCATACCACTGCACTCCAGCCTGGGTGACAGAGTGAAACCCTGTCTCCCAAAAAAAAAAAAAAAAAAAGGCATTATCTCCCTTTTTAACAGGTAGAGCAAGAACTGCAACCAGGATTTAATGTCCTTTCTCTTAAAATATTTTATTGTGCTGAACCCAAAGGATGTTCACAAGTAATAAAATGGGCCAACATGGTATGTCCTACTCTGTAGCACAGGAAAAAAAAAAAAAGGCAAATAGTGCATAAGGCTACACTTGTCAAGCTCTCTGTAGAGGTAACTAAAATAAAAATAACCTGTTTACCATCCTTTCATTGTAAGTACTATTCCTTTTAAATTCTTTTCAAATCACATACTAGGAAAATAATGCTTTTTCTTTTTGCTAAATGGCCTTTTGGCTTGCCACATGCAAATAAACATTTACAAAGTCAATGGATTTGACTATTCTGAGCCAAATTATGTCCCTTTTGTTTTCAGAGCTATGGCCACACAATTCACATGTATGTACACACGTACAAATTTTTCTAATTTAAGAGGTACTGAACCATATGTACTCCTAATAATTCCATTTACTCAGTTGGCACGTTGAGTGCCACTTCATGTTGCCTAGCTGATTCAGTAATAATTTATAATTCAGCAAAAGTCATTATTTTACTGACTTATGTTCTGCAAAATCTAAGTCGAATAATCAACAGTAAGACAAGTTAATACACAATATTAATAACCACACTATAAAGAAATGAGGGGCCATATGGCCTTTAAGAACTACTATTTATGTAGTTTCCAAAATATTTTTCACAAACATCATCTTTTAGTCCCAATCCAGTAGCTCAGCTATTAAAAATTCCTATTATACAAATGAGACAATAGTTTCTGTCTATATCTGACACTAATGCTTTTACCAATTTAGGCTATTTTTGAGTCTCACTCTATCGCACAGACTGAAGTGCAGTGGTGCAATCTCGACTCACTGCAACCTCCGCCTCCCAGGTTCAAGCAATTCTTGTGCCTCAGCCTCCTGAGTAGCTGGGATTACAGGCGTGCACCATCATGCCTGGCTAATTTTTGTGTTTAGTAGAGACAGAGTTTCACCATGCTGGCTAGTCTGGTCAAGTGATCCTCCTGCCTCAGCCTCCCAGAGTGCTGGAATTACAGGCATGAGCCACCACACTGGCCACCAATTTAGGCTTTCCAACTATAGTACTATACTAGTTGCATGGACCTCAACTTTTTTTTTTTTTTTTTTTTTTTGAGAGAGTCTTGCTCTGTCACCTAGGCTGGAGTGCAGTGGTGTGACTTCAGCTTACTGCAACCTCCACCTCCTGTGTAGAGGCGGTTCTTGTGCCTCAGCCTCCCAAGTAACTGGGATTACAGGCGTGCATGCGCCACCATGCCCGGCTAATTTTTTTGTATTTTTAGTAGAGATAGGGCTTTGCCATGTTGCCCCAGCTGGTCTCAAACTTCTGGCTTCAAGTGATTTGCCTGCCTCAGCCTCCCAAAGAGTGGCGTTTACAGGTGTAAGCCACCACACCTGGCCTTGGACCTCAACCTTCTAAGTCTAAATTCTTTTAGCTATAAAACTGTGGGCCTAGAATTGAACTCCTCCTGCAAGCAACTAAATGATCCCAGGTACAGGATCATATTTAAAACCAGAATATTCTATGTAAATTTGGCATTCTATTCCAGAAATTTTAAATCTCAAAGATGTTATAATAATCAAATATTATTAACCCCATCTCAGAACAGTTTAATAACTTTCTATAAATCACAAATGATTTCATACCAAGAAAAACAATATGTAATTATATCTAATTTTAAAAACATAAAATTATATTCCTAAAAACTTGGGGAAAATCAATTTTTCCTAACTAAAAAAATTCAGTTGTTCTTAAAAAATACCCCACAAAAAGTTACAGTAATATATAATCTCCCGCCAGTCTGTTCAGATCCTGTTTAAACTGTAAGATTTCAATGAAGCACACCATCATGGATTCATTTGAACCATGAACAAACTACAATCAACTTTTAAGATTTCAGTTTCCAACCAAAGGGTTTAATGTTGGCTGCCTATTATTCATGTAATACATTAATAATGTATTTCTTCACAGGAAGGATTGACTTAATTTTTAAAAACTACACATTATAGCAACCTAACATTAATAGTGACATTCTAATGTTTTCATCACCCATGACCTAAGCACATTCAAGTTTTAACTTGTACTGGTTACACAACTGTCATTCTGTTTTTTTAAAAAAAATCAAAGTTTGTGTTTTAAATTGAAGAAGCATTTATCTTAAAACATTTAAAAATCTGCTAGATGGAATATATGTTGGCTATAAAAAAGTTCAACTCATGACTCTCCAATGTAAGTAATATTAAGTCATTTCATTTAAAAATTTAGAAGTTACTTTGCATTATCTGTAATGTTAACACTAAATGTAGTAGTTTTAAACACTAAAAGTTGCTTAACAATGAGGTATAAAATGATGTTTGAATCTGTATTTACTATAAATCATTCAGTAGTGATATATTACACATATTTAAACAGTACTTTTACATAGCCTGCTTTCTGTTTAGCATTGAAACACAGAAGTTAGCAGATTTTGAATACAATTGGTTATCTCTAGGATAAAAATTTCTTCTTTTAAAAAATAATCTTTTAGGTAATGTGCAAGCAGTCTTGTGCAGAAATGGGAAAGGTTTTTGCCTAACCAAAGAACATACTACACGAAACACAAACGAAAGAAGAAGAATACTTCAGAATGGAACAGTCATTAGTTCAAATGAACCATACGGGCTTGTAGAAGGGCAAGTAAAAACTACACGAGGACTTGGATTTCATGGAAATCTCAAGCTGAAAAAGTCCATTATCCCAGCACCTCAAACTATTTCTGTCCCTATAGATGACCTATGTCAATTCCTTATTTTAGCTACTAATGGACTTTGGGAAGTTTTGGATAAAGAGGAAGTCACTGCCCTGGCAATGACAACATTTCACATGTATAAAGAAACATACTGTTCTATCATACCTAAAAAATCTTCACCATCCAAAGGGCCTCTGCTTTTTTCAACCATTGAACCAAACCTTACTAAATCACAAAGTAATATCCACGTATTGTTTCAGTATAAATCTGTATCTGAAGGATGTGTGTCAACTACAAATTCCAAAGAAAATTTGTCCGATTCAAACTATTCTAAATACTGCATTTATAACCCTGAGAATGTAGAAACATTTCCAGCAGAAACGACTCATCATAAACCTTGCAGTGAAAAAGTAACTGACAGACCAACTAGTGTCAATGGTGTGGCAACAAATGAAAAAGAATCAGGCACTAAGAGTTTCTACGAAGGTGCAGCTGAGTACGTTAGCCGTGAACTTGTAAATGCTGCTTTACTGGCTGGCTCCAGAGACAACATTACAGTTATGGTAATATTTCTCAGTGGAAGTGAGTATCAGCTTCTGACATAAAAAATAGAAGTTCCAATTATCCAGAGCACCAAAATATAATACCATAAAGCAATTCTTCAATGATCCAGATATTAGGACGATTCATCAATAACATGCAAACAATTTTATGAACACAGTAAAGAAAATATAAAAGCGGATATTAGGTCATATAATATCATTTATATATGTTCACTGTTTTATGCCAAAAAAAAAAAAAAAGAAAGAAAAACCAATACTTGCTTTTTATACCACTTTATTCCAACCTGAGCACCTCAATATAAAACTAAACACTGGTGAACCGTTTTCCTAATTCTGCATTATTGTAAATGTACAAGTTCTCCTAGCAGTCCAACACTTAAATAGACTAAATCATCTCTGACACATGGTAGCTTTCATATAATGAAAATACCTAAAATAATTAGTGCAATATACTGAACTGATCAAAATAAAATGAACTTTGGAAAAGAAGGCTGCAAGATTGTTACTAACATATTGCAATACTTTATGTTACAAATTACGGGTACATTGTTTATTATGGTTCTAGCCATGGAGGAACAACTGAAGCCCCTTCTTGTCCAAGGGGGAGAGAGAAATAATTAGCTATTTTAGTAACTGTACATTTTGTATACTTTTAAGCAACTCTTAAATATTACAGAAAAGTAATACAGATATGGAGACTACAATGCAGTACCCTATTTACAGTACAGCTGAAGATCGAATTTAAAATAATCAAGTTTGAATATACATAATTGTTAGTGCATTGACTATATTATGTCAAAAGGGAACAAAAGCCCCCTCCCTGCCCCAAACAACAAAACCTATGTAATGGCCAGCAGTGATTAATCGGAAATCAGACACCTGGTTTATTTCATTTTTGTTAAAGAACTCACATGTTTGAAAGGAACACTATCCATTAAGGTGCATTTATTAGTTCTCAAATTCTTAAAACAAGATGGGATTGCATTTGATTTTTACCCCATTTAAAAAAAAAAACGGGACTGGCTATAATTAAGATACCATGAATACTCTTCCCCACCCCCCGATTTTGTATATGTGGGATTATTTTCTTGTGGCTAATTTATTAAAATGTGGAATGTACATTTTAAATACAGATACCAGGAGAAATGAACATTTGCCTGAATACTATGGCTAAGCATCATAAATAACTTTAGAATCTCCTTCTAAAAAAAGGACGTTTTTGAAAAGCCCAAATTAGTAAGTTCCAAATTTTTTTTCACAGGTGACTACTGTACCAGTGTGGAGAAATGGGCTGGTTAACTGTGTGGGTCCAGACAGTCATCTGTCTATATTCCTAGTGATGAGAAATTATTCCTCCTAACCTTCCAATGAAACAAGTGTCCACATAGTTCTCATTTTTTCCCTATTGTTGAAACATTAGTGAGAAGGACCCATGCATGTTATTAAAAATTAAGTTCAAAACACTTAAAATAATTCTGTATTAGAAACTTGACTCTATCATAAGTCTCTTCTTTTGGAAGTCATACTGGGCTGGTTAAATGCTCCAATTCCATTGTTATTAACATTTAGGAAGCAGAAGACTATTCCAGCTAGTTCAAACTAGAGGTTTAGTTACTACAACACTGACTCCTGGTTGGTTGTGTGGGTTCGGTGAGGTCTACTCCTCTTCCTCTGGCAGAATTTGCTCCTGGATTTTGTGGTTCATTCTTTGGCAATTTTTTAGCTGAAAGAAAATGATCAAATAAATGGAATATTTGAATACTCATATTAGTATCAGTTTCACCTGCTATTTATAATTTTTCTTTCCAGTTAGGTTACCCCCAAAGTATTATATAACCACATGTTCATTCTTTTCAAATGTTTACTATCTATTAAATGCCAAAACATTGGTTGCTGTCTTAGGGAGTTTGATTTCTGGGGTAACTGTGTTGGGGGAAGGGTAGATGGGGACTGGCTGTAGACACAATTAAAACTTAAGCCTGACTAGTGCTTTATGTAATTCTCTACACAGATTCACTCAGTAATACCAGAAAAGTTGTATTTTATTTTATATTCATTATTACTTCTTCTTCTTCTTTTTTTTTGAGATGGAGGCTCGCTCTGTCACCCAGGCTCACCTAGGCTGGAGTGCAATGGCGTGATCTCAGCTCACTGCAACCTCCACCTCCTGGGTTCAAGCGATTCTTGTGCCCTGGCCTCCTGAGTAGCTGGGTTTATAGGCATGCCCCACCACGACCAACTAATTTTTGTTTTTTAGTAGAGACGGGGTTTCACCATGTTGCCCAGGCTGATCTTGAACTGCTGACCTCAGGTGATCCACCTGCTTCGGCCTCCCAAAGTGCCGGGATTATAGGCATGAGCCATGGTGCCTGGCCTCATTACTACTTCTATTTAAAAAAAAAATCTAAGTTAATAAACATGATGGCCAGCCAGTAAGCTTATCAGTAAGTTTATAAAGAAGCTCAGCTCATATCAGCATTCTCCAGGCTGCCACAAACGCTTTTTAGAACAAGTCAGGATAGAAACAAATACCATTGTAATCATCACCTCAACAAAACTTGTCCTCTATTGTGCAACTAATTATCACCCCGAATTATGATAGATCATATCTACTATTTCCTTCCTGGCTTCCACAGCCTTTGGCCTTAAAATATCTATATACATTTTCTCTCTCACACTCTCTTTTTTTTTAAGAGACAGGTCTCACTCTGTCACCCAGGATGAAGCGCAGTGGTGTGATCATGGCTCACTGCAGCCCTGAGTTCCAAAGTGAGATGGGGTCTCACTTTGTTGCCTAGGCTGGTCTTGAACTCTTGGACTCAAGCAATCCTTCCGCCTCAGACTTCCACGTGCTGAGACTGCAAGTATGAGCCACCATGCTCGACCTCTTAGTTTTTAAAAGAGAAACTTACACCTTGCAGAGTAACCATCAGCTGCCTTGAAATAAAGGGGAAATAGGTAAGAGTTGGATTTTTGAGAATGAACAATTACAATCTATGCTTTGGGCAAAGGACAGATAAGACCCAAGTCAGATGCCTGCATGTGTCAAAACTTAGCATACTGGAGGAAATATACGAACACACAAACATACCTTAGCATGCTAGTGGAAATACACTTAGACACAAACATATCCACATACATTCAGACATATTCAACACTTTGTTGTGATCTTAGTTTGAATGTAGCCTGCAGCCATACTTCTTTTCATTTTGGAGACAAGGTCTCCCTCTGTAGCCCAAGCTGGAGTGTGGTGCAACAATCATAGCTCACTGAAACCTTGAACTCCTGGGCTCAAAAGATCCTCCCACCTCAGCCTCCCAAGTAGCTAAGACTACAGGGTATGCACCACCATGCCTGGCTTTTTTTTTTTTATTTGTTTGTTTGTTTTGTAGAGACTGGGTCTTGCTCTGTTGCCCAGGCTGGTCTAGAAGTCCTGGCCTTGAAGATCATTCCACCGTGGCCTCTCAAAGTACTGGGATTACAGGAGTGAGCCACTGCAACCAACCTCATTTTCTCCTTTTATAGGCTGATGAATCCTAATCTGACTGACCAGTAGCTATACCTAATCCAAACAGAATTATCCTGAAGACCTCATCTCCAAAAACTATTTCCTAACTTTATTTGAGTCAGAGGAGTCTGGCTTGTCAGATTCAGACAACACACTCAACCAGCAGTTACGACTTTACCTCTGCCAAGCTCTATACAGCGAGTGGTTGTTCTCTGGAGTGTTCCCACTGATTAAAAAAAGTACCTGCTGGATATACAGATGCTCCTTGACTTACGATGGGGCTACATCCTGATATATCCATCCTAATTTGTATGTTTTTGAGTTATGATTTTTTTTTTTTTTTTGAGGCAGAGTCTCACTCTCTCACCCAGGCTGGAGTGCAGTGGCATGAGTGGCATGATCTCAGCTCACTACAACCTCTGCCTCCTGGGTTCAAGCAATTCTCCTGCCTCAGCTTCCCAAGTAGCTGGGACTACAGGCGCATACCACCACGCCCTGCTAATTTTTCTATTTTTAGTAGAGACGGGGGTTTCGACATGTTGGCCAGGCTCATTTCCTAACCAACTCCTGACCTCAAGTGATCTGCCCACCTTGGCCTCCCAAAGTGCTGGTACTACAGGCATGAGCCACCGCACCCGACCTCATGTATGGTATTTGAAATTTATGATGGGTTTCTCTATGTAACCTCATAGTAAGCTGAGAATGTACTAAATGCATGTCACTTCACACCATCAGTAAGTTATAAAATTGTAAGTCAAACCACTGTAAAGTTGGAGATTGCTGTAGTTTGTTTTAATCCGTAAGACCCTTAATGTGCTAAATTCATTTTTTGAGGGGAAGCAGAATATTAAACATGTCTAAGAGTACTGATTTTAAGAGTGGCTGCACACACTGATCTCTATCAATCTTGGGGACAGACTACTATGGTAAGACTCTAACTTTACCATAGCTTTGACTCAGGTTACTCAGAAATTGAATATACTCTGCTTCGAGATCTGATTGCCTAGTTGCATTGTGGACCTTTTATACTTTATTTGTTCTACACATTCCATTCTACACCAGCATCAATCATTTTTAGAATCCTAGATGCTGGGTTGTGCAATGCATTTGGGAGCCAGGAGCACTGAAGCTCGGAAAGAAAGACTTCCATTGGGCCACTTCTCTGGGACTGGCTCTAGGCTGGTAGCATAAATGGTATTATAATGGTATATCTCCAGTAAAATGTATTTACAAGCAAAGCCCCAGAGATGCTGAACGCTGGTACCTAGGACACAAAACAGCATTATATACTGTATATAACAACTACTTAGGTTCCGGATTGAGCAATCCATCATGTCTCCCTATTTAGCATGCTTCCCTAAGTGTTTAAATCAAATGTGAGTGAGATTAGGAGGCTGAAGGAAGTAAACCAGAATGAGAAACTTTTTAGTCCCTGCATTGATTACAGTTGTTATGAGTGCACTGTGTGATTTAAGTCACTAATCAAAGTATTCCTTCATAACAAAAAAATAATATAAAAGAAAAAAATTACTAATCTAGTGAAGGAAATGGAAAGGCCATAATTCCATTTACACATAGGTTTTAAGAAGGGAAACATTCTAATTTCAGAAAAAAACAAAAAGCTAAAATATGCAGGCTGCTTTCTAACTCAAAAAATGACTTTATTAGCATGTTTGAATAAAAAGGTACAAACTGAAGTCCATCTGGTAGAGTTTCAACACTGTGAGAAAGGTTTAAAAGTGCAGGCTGATTTGAAAGACCTATTATCTCATTGTTTCCTCTAACTTTTCAGATGTGATTCTGGGTGTAATCTGTCACATTTGTAAAATGAGTATATTATCACACAACCCTTCGCAACTGTGCCAGTATTTCCCTAGCAAACTGCAAACTTGAGTTTTTCAGGAAAACATTTTACATGAGAAACAGGCAAGTTTTTTCCCATTTCAAATGAAGTACCATTAAACTCTGTCACCTAGTGAAAAACAATAAAAATACTTGCAACTTTTACTGGGTTTTCATTATTCTCTGATTCAGCTATTAACTGTTTATTTATATGAGTTCAATTTAAGAGTATTTCTTACTTGGAGTGTGTAAGTAAGGACTGTGAACACCCCGGTTAAGAATCAGTGCTGTAAAATAAAAGGTGTTGTGGGATGAGAAGAGTGCAGGGCACATGAAAACCACAGATGGCAAACTTTGAGAACCACCAAAACATACCCTTCAGGTAGAATCTATACATTAAAACCACTGAAAAGAGGAAAGGCTTAAAAAAATAAAATAAAATAAAATCTAAAACCAAAAAACTAAACCAACCTTTATTTTTGTTATAGAAAAGAGGCTTATAATACTACTCCAACTTCGTTACCTATAATCAAACACTGAAACGGCAATTACCATCGGTTAAAAGCACCTCAGGGCTAAGCGCGGGGGCTCAAGCCTGTAATCTCAGCACTCTGGGAGGTCGAGGTGGGTGGATCACAAGGTCAGGAGATCGAGACCATCCTGGCTAACACGGTGAAACCCCATCTCTACTAAAAATACAAAAAAATCAGCCAGACATGGTGGCGGGCGTCTGTAGTCCCAGCTACTCGGGAGGCTGAGGCAGGAGAATGGCGTGAATCCGGGAGGTGGGGCTTGCAGTGAACAAAGATCGCGCCACTGCACTCTAGCCTGGGCGACAGAGTGAGACTCTGTCTCCGGAAAAAAAAAAACCTTAAAGCAATGACAAGAACACTGTGTAAGATCAAATATAAAGTATGGATGTTGTTTTGTTTTCTTTTTTTTCTCCTTATGCCTCTATGCTCTGAAATCGTCTTCCTTATAATGTTTACATTAAAATAATTTGTCAATCTGTATACTTATGTGTCATGTTCTTCTGAGTTATACTTACCAATAATTTGACTTTTAAAATGTATAACCTAATAAAAAAACATATTTATCCAAATCTCCCAGCGAAATCTTTGCAAAATTTATCTATTTGAACTATCAGGTTAAGGTTAAGGCTTAACTCACCTGGAAGAAGCTTGCCTAAACTGACAGTATTACAACCTAATAGGTAATTATCTTTCAAATTTAACAATATTACCAACAAAGTATTGCTTTGTGGAAGGGACTTAGAAAAGTGGTATAATATCTCTCTCTCTCTCTCTCACACACACACAAACATACACACACACTCACCCCCAATACTTTTTTTAAAAAAGAGACAGTCAAATCAAATATGCTTCATGCTTGTTTTGCTTATACTGATCATTTTAAAAGAGATATTAATCTTACCTATTGCCATGAATATTTCATTTACATTCATTGATGTTTTAGCTGATGTCTCCATGAATAATAAACTATTGTCATCTGCATAGGACTGTGCTTCCTGTTATAGAACAAAAAATGAGATATATCTCTTGGAAATATGCTGTATCTGCTTTAAACTTGTTATAGAAAAGGAGACTTACTTATTACTGCTCCAACCTGATTCCTATAATCATCTATAATCAACAACTATGTAATAGCTACAACAGAGGTAAGAGCACTGTGCAAGAAAATTTTATAAAGGACTATTTCCTTTTTTGTCTGAAATTCTTGCATTATCCCACCTTGATTAATCTGTTCTTACATTAAATCTGCTTTCAAATACTGAGTTCCAGAGATGGGGGAGAATTATCTTATTCTAAATAAAACTCTCTTTGATCTCAATGGCAATTTTTATTTACACTTATTATCTGCAATGAAGACAAAGGGAAACCAAATATCTAACACTGGCTTCAACTACTAAATGACACCCTCATATTTAATTTTCAGTGACCTCTACAGTAACATTATAGTCTTGAATATATCATGAATCATTCCTTTGAAAATTACATTACTGCCCTACATTTTTGTCATGCTTTTACATTTTACATATATTATTACTTTTCATCCTCATAGCTGTTATGAGGGGTAACCAATGATCTTTCCCATTGGACAAAGAAACAACTGAGGCTCCTTTGAACTGTTACGTGACAGGGCCACTTCTGACTGTAACTTAAGTATTTTCTCTGCCACTCTAGTGCTGGGGAGGCAACAATTGTGGAAAGAGTAATGGATGATACTACATCTCACATCATTTTCCTAAGAATTAAATAAAATTACAAGTGTAACATGCCCAGCTTAATACCTAATGGTGGAAGAATACATGTATTCCATCTACAGTCATCAAAACAGAAAACTATTCCATCACTGATATATACATAATAGCCTCAACCACCCTTCTAGTAGAGAAGCCAAAGAGCAAGAGAACAGGCAGTTTTAAAAAGAATGTCGAAGTAGAGGACCTGCTTTGTTTTTAAGTGATTGCACTTGCTCTATTTTGCAGCAGCAAACATTCTGAATTAGCAACCATAAGACACAAACTGGATTTTTTTTAGCCTTAAAATTTTTTTAAAATAATTAGTTTTTAGCTTATTATTTTCCAACTCTGGATACCGACTGGCAGAGCCTTTATTTTTGAATGCCGCTTTAAGAACAACCACATGAGTGTTTGCATATGGACATATGTGGGTACACACACGTGCTGATACATACTTGCAGATAAGTAGAAGAGGGTTAGGACATAAAGTATGTGTGGGATGGAGGAATTAGGGCAGGGTACAATCACTTTGTGCACTGTGAACAATGACTACTTTTACTGTTTCTCTCTTTTTTTTTGAGACGGAGTTTCGCTCTTGTTGCCCAGGTTGGAGTGCAATGGTGTGATCTCAGCTCACCACAACCTCCGCCTCCCAGGTTCAAGCAATTCTTCTGCCTCAGCCTCCCAAGAAGCTGGGATTACAGGCATGCACCACCACACCTGTCTACTTTTGTATTTTTAGTAGAGACAGGGTTTCTCCAAGCTGGTCAGGTTGGTCTCGAACTCCCAACTTCAGGTGATCCACCTGCCTTGGCCTCCCAAAGTGCTAGGATCACAGGCGTGAGCCACTGCACCCGGCCTTTATTGTTTAAGTCTACAAAATCTTTTGATCAGTTTATATATTCCAGTAATCTATTTGAAAATTTAGGTTTATCAGAAACATTTTATTATATGTAGTATTTTGTATTTGTTTTAAAAATCAGTCTTTTCTATTACTTGCATGGTTTTAACATTATAACTAACTCAAGTGTTGACACAAAATAAAAACTTACAGGAAAAAAAGGGACTTTCAAGTGAAAGTCAAATTTAACATACCTGGAAATCTACTGCTCTTTTATTTGCTAGGTCGGCCTTGTTTCCTGATAAAGCTATTACAATGTTAGGACTTGCTTGCCTCTGAAGTTCTTTAACCCAATTTTTTGCTCTTGCAAAGGACTCCTGTTAAACAAAGAAACAGCTATTGGGCATAGGCTCAAAAAATGGTTAGGAAGCATCTTTGTGATACAAGGCTTTTTTTTAAAAGACTGTCCACAGTGAGTGTGGGAAAGAAATTCTTAGGACTACTGTATTATGAGACATTTTCATTTTTTTTTTTAAACCAGATTTTCTAATTCACAAAAGCTTCAGCAGAAAGGTCAAGACTGACTATCAAAAAAAGATTTTCCAAAATATTTATTCAAAATTCTGAATACCAAAAGTGGGTACTCAAATTAATTTCACTGTGCAATGCATCCATACTTACCTCATTTGTGATATCATATACAACTATGGCTGCTTGTGCTCCTCTGTAGTACATTGGTGCTAGGCTATGGTATCGTTCTTGACCAGCTGTATCCCATATTTCAAACTTTACTGTAGTGTCATCAAGACATACAGTTTGGGTTAGAAAAGCAGCTGAAAGAAAAGGACTGCAATAAGTTAATCATTTTTCTCCAAATGTTTTCATAATATAGAAAACACCTGCTTGTATACATGTATCAAAATGTTACACCGAACCCCATACATATGTACACCTATTATGTGTCAGTTAAAAGCAATAAATGAGGGTTAAAAAAAAAAAAAGGAAACACCTAGAAACTTGACAGATTGCATACCCACAATTGATAACAGCTTTCAAATACTGGCAAAGCTGTGCTTTTAAGCTATTTACATATATGCTTACATATAGGGCCTTTGTAGTGAAATCACAGATTGAAAAATTTCTGCATCTTAGAAAAGCTTGTTATAATACTAAATAAGCTTAAGACTACATTTCTTTTCCTTCTTTTTTTTTTTTGAGACAAGACTCTCATTCTGTCACTCAGGCTACAGTGCAGGGGCATGATCTCAACTCACTGCAACCTCCGCCTCCAGGTTCAAGCAATTCTCCTGCCTCAGCCTCCTGAGTAGCTGGGACTACAGGCACGTACCACCACACCTGGCTAATTTTTGTACTTTTAGTAGAGACGGGGTTTCACCATGTTGGCCAGGCTGGTCTCGAACTCCTGATCTCAGGTGATCCGCCCACCTTGGTCTTCCAAAGTGCTGGGATGACAGGCATGAGCCACCGAGCCCAGCGAAGACTACATTTCAAAACTGCTCTACAATTAAAGAAATGCAATGATAGTCTCAAAAAATGAAAGTCGCAGGAAACCCAGTGTGCTTAAAAGTACCGTCTACATTGCCAACACCACGTCCTGTTCCATTTTATTAGATTTTATTGGCACACTCTGGCAATTTAGTCCCAGTCCATTACCACCAAGTTAGTATTTCTTGTTATGTATGTTTTTTTTTTTTCCCTGAGACACAGTCTCACTCTATCGCCCAGACTGCAGTGCCTCCCAAAAGTGATGAGATTATAGGTATGAGCCACTGTACCTGGCCTTTTGTTATATTATTTTTTAAAACATTGTGACACTTTAATTGTGGTAGTCATTATTACCTTAACCTAGATTTAATTTGTTCAGTTGATTCAATATTTGCTCCTACCTTTCATTCCCTGCCATAAGAATTTTTCGGATCTGTACTTTTCCTGATTCTAATTTTAACACTAAGAAAGCAGCATCACAAGCTGGGCATGGTGGCTCATGCCAGTAATTCCAGCACTTTGGGAGGCTGACGCGGGCGGATCACGAGGTCAGGAGATCAAGACTATTCTGGCCAACATGGTGAACCCTTGTCTCTACTAAAAATACAAAAATTAGCTCGACATGGTGGTGCCTGCCTGTGGTTCCAGTTACTCGGGAGGCTGAGGCAGAAGAGTCACTTGAACCCACGAGGCGGAGGTTGCAGTGAGCTGATACCGCGCCATTGCACTCCAGCCTGGCAACAGAGACTCCGTCTCAAAAAAAAAAGAACGTAGCATTATAAAATGATACAATATTGTTAAAATTAAAAGACCCACACACAGCCATTAGACCGCCTGCTGCTGCTGCTCTATCATTCACTGTGAATTGGTATGCTCCTCCCTTCCTTCCACGTTTAGCTCAAGGTGTGATATTCAAACCCTATTTCCAAATTGGTATGCACTTGAATTACACCTTTCTAAATATTATCCAAAGGAATTATGACACATTTCTCTAAATTACAGCAGTTTATCTAGTGATGTCGATAGAGATGTACTAACCAGTATCAAATGTGCTAAAGAAACCAAGTCTAACGAGATGTATCTCTTTTATGTTAGCCATAACTTTTTTTTTATGCTCTTTTAGGTTAAGTGGTTGCTGGCTTTAGTATCAACAACTAAAATCTTCTGAATTTTGCAAACAATACTGTAAACATCTTCATTTTGACTTAGATTCTAATTGATAGTTTTATGAATTCTCACTAATCATATTGTAAAATATATTCTAATCCAGTTCAAACTTTTTTTTTAACCCAACAATTAGCAGGATTATCCATTTTCTAAAATGCTGTATTTATGGTAAAGGATATCCAGAGAGCACTAGGTCACTTTTTCAAGGTCATGAGAGGTTCCCCTGTAGGATCAAAACATGTTTTTAAACTAAAATTAACTCCCTAAGACAGTACTCTTATCAAAAAGGAAAAGAGGAAAATAAATCACAATATACAAGCCTTTTTCCAAGTATAGTTTGATGCAGACTTGCAAAAAAAAAAAAAAGGGATTAAAATGTGCATAGACTGTTTTATTTTTTAGACATACTATGATTCACAAAGTATACTAGTAGTAAAAACATTCATTTATACATCCATAAGCAAACTTCAGGCTCAGGGAAACAACTAGAGTCGTCCCTCAGTATCTGTGGAGGACTGTTTCCAGAACTTTCCCATCTATCATGAAGGACTGGTCTCTAGAATCCCCAATGGGTAACCAAATCTGAAGATGCTCAAGTCCCCGGTATAAAATTGCAAAGTATGTGCATATAACCTAAGCACAGCCTTCTGTGTACTTTAAAGCATCTCTAGATTACTTTACTTTGTACTTTAAAGCATCTCTAGATTACATTCTATTAGGTAATACAATGCCTGCGCATCACGTCATCCACTAGATTCAACACAGTATTAAGTGTGTGGCAAATTTAATTTTTGCTTTTTGGAGCTAAGTGAATTTTTTCCCCCTTAATATTTTCAAGCTGCAGTTGGTTGCATTTATAAATGTGGAACTCACAGATTCAGAGGGCCAAGTGTATTAGAGATATTGCCTTAGAGAAAATACGATCCGATCCAATTCTCAAGCCAGTTAAAGATACCACAAGAGGCCACCATACATGTACAAAAATGCCAAATACAAAGAAATTGCAACAAATACATTAAGACAAAGGCCCATGACCAAGTACATTCTTTCAGAAATACAAAACTATTACAATAACAGGTTAATGAAGAAAATCCTTTTAAACAAATTACAAAAAGGCATTTGAGTCAATATCCATTCCTAATAAACACGTTAAGATTCTTCCTTATAGAATGAAGAAAATCCTTTTAAACAAATTACAAAAAGGCATTTGAGTCAATATCCATTCCTAATAAACACGTTAAGATTCTTCCTTATAGCAATTATTTCTATATTAGGGCATTATTTCTAAATCTAGGAACAAAACCAGGGGAAACCATGCTGGAACAGGAATGGAACCCACTCAGATTAACAAAGATAATCAATTCATTCCTCAACTCTGCTTAGAAACCTTCCTTCATTCCACCCTAGTTAATATCTCCTACATCTGTGCTCCCAGAGTTCTCTGTGTAATAACATTTCACATCTTTTATAATCATTGGTTTATATCTTTTCTTCTCCTTGATTGAGAGTTACTTGGGCAATGACCACAGGTTAAGTATCCCTTACATGAAATGCCTGGAACCAGAAGTGTTTTGGATTTTTAAAGATTTTGTAGTATTTGCATAATGAGATATTTTTGGGAAGGGATCCAAGTCAAAACATGAAATTCATTTGTTTCACATAAAGCTTGTACACACAGCCTGAAGCTAAAATAATTTTGTGCATTAAACCAAGTTTATGTACACTGACTCATCAGAAAGCAAAGGTGTTAAGTGTGAAACTGTTCACTTGTGACATCATATTGATGCTCGAAGAGCTGGGGAGCATTTCAGACTTCAGATTAGGGATGCTCAACCTGTAGTAGTTCTTCTCTGTACCAGCATCTAATATAAATCCTTGTTCATACAGATGTTCAAAAATGTCTGCCAAAAGAAGGAAGTTCAAAAAGATACATGGAACCATTTAAAGGGTACTTCAGATAACATTTGAATGTAGACAGAGGCAGCTCCCAAATGTGAAAAAACAGACATTTCACAAGGTCTCTCTACTCAAGTTGTAACACAACCTCAAAAACATCATCAAGATATTTTTCACTTGATAACACTATGCTGGGCCGGGTGCGGTGGCTTCTGCCTGTAATCCCAGCACTTTGGGATGCCAAGGCAGGTGGACCACCTGAGGTCAGGAGTTTGAGACCAGCCTGACCAATACGGCAAAACCTTGTCTCTACTAAAAACACAAAAAAATTAGCCAGGCATGGTGCCACATGCCTGTAACCCCAGCCACCTGGAAGGCTAAGGCAGGAGAATCACTTGAACTCGGAAGGCAGAGGTTGCAGTGAGCCGAGATTGTGCCATTGTACTCCAGCCTGGGCAACGAGAGTGTAACTCCGTCTCAAAACAACCACCGCCGCCACCACCACTGTACTATTGTTCATGTGGTATGACAAAGCATAATTTTGGGGGAGAAAAAGACCAACATTAGAGGCCAGGGAAAATCAGTTTCATAATATACTTAAAAAAATGAAAAGTGCTGCAGTACTACATGAACAGAAATATTACTGGAATAGTGTAGGCCAGTATAACAAACTCTTGATATACATAATACACCCCAAGACGTTCATGATTTCCTAAAGTCCTAAAGTTTTAAAATACTACTATAGTGTTGTTTTTTTCTGAGACGGAGTTTTGCTCTTGTCGCCCAGGCTGGAGTGCAATGGTGCGATCTCGGCTCACTGAAACCTCTGCTTCCTGGGTTGGAGTGATTCTCCTGCCTCAGCCTTCCAAGTAGCTGGGATTACAGGTGGCCGCCACCACGCCCGGCTAATTTTTGTATTTTTAGTAGAGATGGGGGTTTCACCATGTTGGCCAGACTGGTCTCAAATCCCTGACCTCCGGTGATGCACCCACCTTGGCCTCCCAAAGTGCTGGGATTACAGGCATGAGCCACCACACCTGGCCAAATTCCACTACAGTGTTTAATTTCCCCTGTAAAACTTGGTGAAGTGTAACTGACATTTAGGTGACATCTTCAAATCCTTAGTGCTCCTAAAAATACATTACTAGTAATTTATAAAGTTATGTAAACGAATTCTGCCACTGAAAAGATAAACTACTACATCAATACAGTAGCAACATTAACCAACCACAAACTTACCTGAATCTGTAAAACCACTTTAATT